GAGTATGTTTAACCTTAATCCATTATGTATTATTTTTCTTGTACATTTTGGTCCTTTATAAAGCCAAATTTCTTCCTAGTCCTAATTTTCTAAAAAAAGTTTATTGTTGGATAAGTGATGCTCTTCCTCAAATGTCTTTTTTCTATTTTAGCATTTTTGAGATGAACTGTATTGATGTTAAATCATGATTGAATTTCTGGAATAAACTTGATTTATTATGTTTTCATGATAGATGACTGGAAAGGAGGCTGGATAGATATATTCTAAACTAAAGATAAGAATATGATTCTCCCAAGATTTCTCCTAGTTCACTGGAGTCAGCAAACTGGGTTCAGTCAGCTATTGTGTCTTTTAGAATTTTGCACTTTTCTTTATAAGAGAAATGGGTCTATTTTTCTTGAACTATCCTTTTTCAGAGACTGAATCAAATTCTGCTGTCTTATTTGTTTGTTTCTTCTTGCTCATAATAGCTTTTTCTTAATTTGTTTTATAATTTGTATTATGAATTCCAATTTGTTTTGGTTCTATCTGTGAGAATTCTGAAATGAGGCCTATATTGAATCTTTTATGTTCAATAAAAGAGGTGATTTTGCTTTGTTCTATGTTGTGCAGTTAAAGTCAGCTACAATTACATATATATAACTGTATACATAACTGTAACAGGATATATGACAGAATATATATATCCTATTACAGTAATGTACTGTTTTACATGTGTATCAGTAAAAGGGAAATATTTTATTATCACATATTGCTTGTATGTTTTTAAAATTTAGATACACATAATTAATAATCATGATATATTAGGAGGTTCAGATAAGCAAATATACAGATAAAATAGAATCAAATCTTGTTTTTCTCTGATAAACACACTTAAAGTCTTCCTAGACTTTTCCTCAGGTCCCTTTTTAAGTATTTTAAATGTGACGTATTGAGAGACTCAACTATTTGAGCCTTTTAACTAGGTCTTTGACTAGACAACAGAAATCTTACCCAGTACTATTTTTGGTTGTCATTATAGTTCTTAGGTTATCATTAGTCTTACTCCATAGTTTAGAAGAAAAATGATGGTTAACACTTTACATGTTTTATATATGTGTCCAAATTTTCATTTTCACGTGTGGTTCCCACATATAAAAAATCCCATACCTATATAGTCGGGAAACCATAAGTGGATCATTTCAAGCATACTGTAACTCATACATAGTATCAATTACAGTGATGTTTTTAAGATTCTAAAATTATTTGACTCGCCTATACTTTTAAATGATGTATTTATAAGGGCTGCCTATGGTATTTATGAAGATAATTTAATTCACTTTTTTTTTAAAAGATTTATTTATTCCTACAGAACTGGGGTACAGGCCAGAGATGTGGAGGGTGAGAGGCTTCACCAGAGACAGAGTGGGGAGCAGAACAGGCAGATCGACGAAGTACACTGCTGAGGGGAGCAGCGGGCGGGTCAGGAGAGGTCTGCCTCACCATGTGGATCTCCTCCAGGGCAGGCGGGGATTGAACTCATGGGGAACAGACTTCAGCTTCTTTGTGCTGTGCTTTAACCTGCTGCGCCACCAGGGAGAGCCTACTTCACTTCTTTTTTCAGGGTTCACCCTGCCCATGTATAACATAGACCTGTATACAAAATATTTAGAAAAGGAAACAATTACAAAAAATAAGAAATAAAATACATAGGAGAACAGAAGTTTATGTGGAAGAAAGGGGGACAAGGAAGAAGTAAACAGGGTTTCTGCGCCTCCCTAGTGGAGCTGCTTTGCTGGACTTTGATCCCCATCCCCACCACATTAGGTGATCCACTCGATGCAGCACATCTCTCCAGTCTGTCAGTAATGCACTTCCTCACTCTGCCTGTTCTGCTTCCCACTGACTATGGTAAAACTTTTCACTGCCCCTGAACCTCTGGCATGTACCCCAGTACTAGATGCATAAATAAATAAATCTTAAAAAAAAAAAAGTAAACAGGGGTTCTAAAATTTTCACAAGGAATGATTAACTAGTTCTCAAATCAAATGCTTATTTTGATATTTTAAAGTTTATTCAAATCCTCTGGAGTATTCATTTAAAAAAGCAAAGGTGGCCCTCCCTGGTGGCGCAGCGGGTTAAAGCACTGCACAAAGAAGCTTAAGCCACTTCCGCATGAGTTCGATTCCCGCCTGCCCCCGGAGGTGACCACATGGCGTGGCAGACCTCTCCTGACCCACCCGCTGCTCCCCTCAGCAGTGTACTTCGTCGATCTGCCTGTTCTGCACCCCACTCTGTCTCTGGTGAATCCTCTCACCCTCCCTGCATCTCTGCCCTGTACCCCAGTTCTGTATGCATAAATAAATAAATCTTTAAAAAAAAAAAAAAAAGAAAGCAAAGGTACAGGTCCAACCTACAGAGATGATATGGTAATAGATCTTAGAGCTGACCTAGGATCTGGGTGGGCCGTAGACAACCATTCAAGAAGAAATACAAGAAGAGGGAGAGCACAGAGGTAGAGAATGATACATGGGAGAAATTAAAAGATACGGGTAACAATTGACAAGGGGGCAAATTCTGCCACAGGACCCCAAGCCTAGATTGTGGCTATCCTCTGCAAAATACTAGTATATATCTAGACTCAAAACCTTCTGTGCTATTAGGACCTGCCATGGCATGTGAGGTAACACTCACTAGTCATACTTAGCTGAGCCATAAAATGACCTATTCTGCAAGCAGAATAGAGCTTTCTAAATGTATCATTAAGACATTCTTAAAGGTAGTACACAGACCCCACATTAAAAAGAAAGCTGACTTGACCCTCATGGGAGGGTCTAGCTTGTTTCCATTATCCCAGAGTGACCTGATTAAGGGGATGCTGACCACCTCCTGCAGATCACTGTGTCCTGGATGAGGACATGGGTCTCCTTGCACTGCTGAATTCCAAAGAAGTTGCAGTACACTGAGAAGCAATGCAATGCACACACAAGCTGGCTGCTACAAGAATTCACAGCCCAGTTCATCTTCCTAGGTGGACACTGGACTTTGTGCTGAAATCATCAGGTAGGCTAACACCAGAAATGGAAGAGATAGAGGTGTTAGACTGAGTGCACACTTAAAGCTCAGGGGGAGGATCTGTATCCTAAAATGACAACCATCAAGGGAAGCCTCAATATGACTAGAGTGAGTCTCGGGTTTACATAGTGTCTTTCTTCTGAATTCCAGACCACTGTAGGTTTTAATCTTACAATCATGAAAAAAGAACTTATCTTTTCACTTCTACATGCTCAATCAACCTAGTTGACTTGTTTATGGAAAATGAGTTTTGGGTACTGTATGTAGATCTGAAAGTCTCTTTTTCATAGGGATGGGATGTATGATTTCCCTCACTCCCACCCAACCCCTTGTTACTTGATAGTAATTGTTAATTTCAAATAATGTTCAGAAATGTACCTTGTGGGAAAGGTACGGGATTTTTGCCGGAATATTTGATTTTGTAAGCATGTGTACTCAGGTTTATTGTAATTGCGGCTACTTCGGAGTACAAATAAATGAGCAGAAAGGATTAAGGTCTGTAAAATGATTACTGGACAGTAGACAAGAAATTGAGAAAAGCTATAGCTCCAGGGAATGAGCACTGAGAAGATCTAATAGTGAGCGCTACCGAGCGTTACCATCAGTGTACAAATGAGGAAGGTAAGCAGATAAATGGGAGGGTAAGCAGAGGACTGGCGGATGCTTGAAGGTATGCATATGAAATTTGAAAGGAAAGCCCATCTAGCTTCACTCTTGACAGGATAAGAAGAGCCCTTTCCAGAAACTCAATACAGAAATGGTATGTATTCAGGAGCTGTTTCAACCTGTCCACACTCTACAGTGACTTTCCCAGAAAAGACAAGCTGCAAGGCAAATGCCACAGCCAAGCCTCTGGTTTCCAGTTTTCCCGAACCCCAGAGCACACACAGCCCCACAGGACGTCACACGGAGCAGTCTCGGAGAGTGGGCTCTGCAAGGAGCTGGGGCAAAGTTTTGATGCGGTTCACTCCAAATCTGCCTGGCCCCAGGGTGTAGCCGCGGGGTTTAGAGTTAGCATTTAGTGTTTAGCCGCGGGGACTCCCGGGCAGCTCAAGGCACAGGCTGAGCAGCAGTGGCAGCAGCACCAGCGGCAGCCTGCAAGCTGAGTAAGGAGCCAGCCTCCGCCACCGCCTCCTCCTGCCGGCGCAGAGTCGGCAGCACAGCCAGTCCCTACTGCTGTCACGCCGCCAGCAGCAGGGCCCCTCCGCCACCCCCCACCCCTCCGCACTGTTATTTGCGTGACTGACCCAAGCCCGCCGGGAGGGAGGACCCGGCTGCGGGAGGGAGGGGAGCGCGCCGGCCCGCCCACTCCTTCCCCTCTGGGTCTCTGAGGCAACTTCTCCTTCTCATTGGTCACACGCTTGTGTCCATCACCCCGAGGAGGGCCTCGGATTGGCAGAAGGCGTACTTCAGGAGCGAGGAGGGCAGAGTGACTCCGCGGGTCTCCCGCGCCTCATCTTTCCCTCCACCCCCACTTCAACGTCCACCCACCTCTCCCCACCCCCACTCCACTTCCCCCGCCCGATTCGCGGCAGTGTCCTTAGAAGACTCATTGGGCCATGGGCGAAGCCAGCCGTCTATCGAGCCGCACCGTCATTGGCTGATGTTCACGTCCGTCGGGGTAGCGGGCTTCGTCATTGGGTAGCTCTGTCCACTCCCCGCCCCCCAACGCCTCTCCCTCCCCTCTACCTCCTCCCCGGCCGGCTCTTCCAAGGCCGCTTTCCCCGCCCTTCCCAGCCGCATCTCCCCTGTCCAGCTGGGCGGGGACTGCTGTACGACTCTGTAAAGTCTGTGAGTCACTGCACAACCCATCAATCCAATTAAATGTCTTGAGCTAGCCGAGCAGGCGGTGCTGCCGCCGCCGCCGCTCACCCCGCCGCGGCCGCCCCTGTTCGCAGCGCCCCTCTGATCCATGGCTGTCTGTCTGTACTTGTTACGGTGTAACCTCCTCCTTCTCCTCCTCCTTCTCCTCCTCCTTCTCCTCCGGAGCCGCTGCAACTTCCCCTCAGCCAGCCTCCTCCTCTGCTTGGGGACTGCAAAGGCATGGGATAGACCCAGAGCCACTTCTCTCTATCTCCCCTCCAGCCCTTGCTCAATGTTCCCCCTTTAAATTAAAGTCTGTTCTTCGCTCCTCGTCGTTTTAGAGGTCGATTTGTCAGTCGATTTCCCCTGATTTTATTTTCCTTGCCTGGGGCAAGGGGTTTGAAGGGACCAGTGGCTTTATTTTTGGGGAGGGGGCTCCACACCCCCGAATTTCTCCCGTTCCGTCTGTGACTTGACTTCCCTGGTCCTCTCTACTCCCAACCCTCGAACTCACCGTCCTGCACTCCAGTGACGCACCGACACCCCCCGCCCACAGTTCAGACGTCCCCTCCCTCGCTGCCACCGCGACCCGTCTCGGAGCTGGACCCAGTGCGGACTTCTCAGAAGGGTGAGTACCGTGTTGGGTTTTGGGGGGATCGGGGAAAACGTAACCGGTCCACTTGGGGAGAGCAGAGATCATCATATTGTGGGCTGGAGGTTCCTAGTCCGGCGTGGATTTGAGGTGGCGACTGCCTCCCTCTCTCGATCCCTCTTCCCCCGCCCCTCGACTCCTTATTCACCAGCCTTACTGTATTTCTAGGTATTGCCAGACTTCCACCATCGGGGCATATAGCATTTATAAAATGAGTGGTAATGGAATGCTTTCTGTCTTTAGGATGCTTGGTGAGCGGTAATAGCGATGTGATCTGATAGATTCTGTGACCTGTAAAAAGTGTAAACGACGATGGGTACATTTCCTTCTAAATCAAAGTTAAACTTTTATTCAATAAAGGCAAAGTGAAAGGCATTTCTAATTTGAATGTGTGTGATGGAACAACGGAAAGACAGGTTGCCTGGTGGCATGACTTAATATTTTTATTTTCAAATATATAGTTTGATGGGTTCCCTTTTGAAAACAAAATGAATTCAGTATTAAAGTAAAGGTTATGAAGTCTTTGAGCCTGTTGGGGAAAATAAGATGGAAATCCAACTTGACACTTGCATGTTTAGCTCACTTCAATTCTACCCAGACATTACAATACAGAATTTTAAATTTCTCAGTCATTGGGCACAGTGGGGTGTGTGTGAAAGGTAAATACGGACGATTTTCCCCTCTGATAGCCATGTTTTATATACTTAATTGCTCTTAAACAATGTCACACTCTAGAATTTTGTAAAATTTCAGTTTGGTTTCTTGGTTGTTAGTAGCTCAAAAGTACACATACCTGTTCACATTTACTTTATGAGAATGTTGTCTTCTGTATCTTTAATTTTTGAGATAAAAGTAGAAATTACAAAAAATAGCTACTCAGACTGTTTAAAATGTATTTCTCTCTCTGAATCAAGTTCTGGTCCGGTTACCCACAAGAATCAAGTTGGGCTAAACTAAATGTGTTTTGGAATATTAAAGTACAGGCGAGGCCTCTTAGTTCATTCTCCTTCTCTTTCAGACTAACCAGAATAAGTTGTTACTAAATTTAATTTTAAAGAATAGACTGTTCCTGTACTGAAATCTGCCAAATTTCTACAGAAAAGATTTCTTTTTAAAGAACAGAAATGTGTTTATGATATGCTCTGAGTAGTAAAGTTGACTCAAATGTAAATGCTATGGTAAGGAAACGCTTGTCATAAGTACCCAAACCTTGTGAAGTGTTTCAGGAAGACTTAGACAAGGCCTTCTTGAATTGCTTAATAAACTTCATGTGGCCTTTCTTCTTGAGTGTGAGACTGAATTGGGAGACCTCACAGTACAGGGAAACCATGCCTGCAGAGTTTGAATCTTGAGGTGACCTTTGATGGCTGTTCCACCTTGGGCAAGTTTCAGATTTGCCATGTTTCTTCTGTAAATGGGGAGGATGACTTTTCCTCAAAGGGTTGATGTAAGGCTAAAGGAGAACGTATGTGTCACAGGGTATTTGGTATTAGTTGCCTCTTCATCATTACTGTCTTCCTCAGAGAGGATGTCAAGTGCAGTATTTAAGATAACTCTCCAGAAATTGTGAGTTCAGGTTCTAGCATAACCTTTTGCCATCTTGGATAGATATCAAGTTAATCTCAGAGCTCATCTGTAAAATGGGGATGACAGAAACACCTACTTCAGAGGTTATTGGAATGAATTACAGTATGCAAAAATCTTGGCTAGTGTTTAAGTTTAATTTCCTGTCATGTTTCTTGTATGTCTTGAAACATGGGTGACTATTTTTTAGAAATAAACTTTTTTGAAAAGATGAAGTATTGTGGTCAGTGAAATAAGTAGTATTTTTAACATGGTGCATGTTTTATGGATTTATACATTTAAACTGGAATTCATATGAATTCCAGAAAATGTTGTTAGCTATTAGATGAGTTGAGTTGATCTCTCATTTAAACTTGCATAGTAGGATATTCGTACTTCTATTATAATTATACCTATCATACATTTGCTGTTATCTGCAATTTTCTCCTCTACTAAACAGAAAGCTCTTGGAAGATAAGAATAGTGTTTCATTCATAATTTAATCTTTGGTGCCTAGCAGAGTACCTGGTACATAAAGAAGCCTAATGAGTGCCGTGGAATGAATAAAATGTTATTCTGAAGTTGTTTATATGAGTAGTTGAACACATTTTAAGTGATATTGTGGAGAATACTGTTATGTGTATTGCTCAATTCACATTCTCAATTACTACTTTGTAAATAGAGTAAAGAGGAGATTATGGTTTAATTTGTAAATAGAAATATTTCTTGTTTGAATATTAATTTTTAATTTAGCATATCTCTGATATCTTCCTGATATGTCCATTTGTAAGACTTTCTGACTCCCAAACTTTGTGAAACTTACTATAATTAATATGAATTTGGCAGTGTCCCAACTGATGATGTGATGCTATTATCAGCTTCAGAATTAATAATAATAAATGGAATCTATCAAATCAACACTGAAAACAAAAGGCATCATTTCCTTAAGAAACAAAACTTCCTCTTCCCATTAAGGGTGAAACTGTTTCTATTGAAGAGTGTTGAAAAATAATTAACTTTTGAAATAGTTGTAAGTAGTGTTGTAGAAATCATATGTAGAAATTGCATCAAAGGAGGTATATACAAGTAGTAAATAAAATACTTAAACTTTACTGCATACACATTAGGCATTACACAAGTGGGAAATATATTTATTAAATAATCAAAATTGATGAGACCTACCACCTGCTTCACTTACAGACTCATTGCGTTTTACTTGTCAAAAGTCTAGTCAATAAATCAGAAGTATCATAGTGGGGCCCTCCCTGTTGGCTCAGTGGGTTAAAGCACAACACTGCAAGCTAGCCGCAGTCCCGTTGGCAAGTTCGATCCCCCATCCAGAAGCCATCCACATGGCGCCAGACCTCTCCTGACCTCCCAGCTGCTCCCCTCAGCAGTGTACCTGGTAGAGCTGCCTGTTTTGTTCCCTACTTTATCTCTGGTGAATCCTTTCATCGCCCCTGCACTTCAGGCCTGCACCCCAGTTCTGTATGCATAAATAAATAAATCTTTAAAAAATCTAAAAAAAAAAAAAAGAAATATTATAGTGCTCCATAACATTGTTAAAAATTTTCAAATATGTGAAGTACCAATGACAATGTCAGTACTTTTGATCACATAATCCTTTTTTTTTTAAAGATTTATTCATTTATGCATGCAGAACTGGGTACAGGCCAGAAGTGCAGGGGCGGTAAGAGGATTCACCAGAGACAGAGTGGGGAGCAGAACAGGCAGACTGATGAAGTACACTGCTGAGGGGAGCAGCGGGCGGGTCACGAGAGGTCTGCCACGCCATGTCGATCACCTCCCGGGCAGGGATAAAACTCATGATGAAGTGGCTTTAGCTTCTTAGTGCTTTGCTTTAATCTGCTGCTCCACCAGGGAGGGCCACACAATCCTTTTTTTTAAAGATTTATTTATTTGTACATACAGAGCTGGGGTACAGGCCAGAGGCTCAGTGGCGGTGAGAGGCTTCACCAGAGATAGAGAGGGGAGCAGAACAGGCAGATGGACGAAGTACACTGCTGAGGGGAGCAGCGGGCGGGTCAGGAGAGGTCTGCCTCGCCATGTGGTCGCCTCCAGGGCAGGCGGGAATCGAACTCATGCGGAGGTGGCTTTAGTTTCTTAGTGCAGTGCTTTAACCCGCTGTGCCACCAGGGAGGGCCCCACATAATCCTTTTTTAACTAAATTATCAGTTACCTGATTTAGTTGAATATATTGTATTTTCATTAGCTAAAACAGTTTAGAAAACTTGCCCCCTTTTTATTTATATAACTTTAAAACAGCCAATCTAGGAAAAAAAAAAAGCATAGGCACTTAGAAACTACACAGACGTGTCTGGTCTACAAGATGGAAGTCACTTATGCGTGGCACATTTTAGCGTGGCTTTGTCCTGTAGCTACATCTCTTTCTTTCATTGAATATTTTTGTGTAGCTGTTCCAGTATTTATTAGTAATTTATAGATGCCTATGATGTCTCTGACTTTTAAAGAAGCATTTTTTTCTGATTAATTATTTGGAAAGCGAGGAAAGAGTGATAGAAATAACACCTAGGGCTTGCCATTTCTATCCTTTTCTAACATTAGGAAAATAATAGCTAGATATTCTGCCAGTGATCAGAAGGAGAGGAAAATATATGCATTTCCTATTGACATAAACTTAGAATTAAGGTTCAGTGAGCTCGAGACTGAGAGATACAGCTGATGGGCTGTATCTGTATACAGCTGATGTGACCCTGAGTGTGACACTTCACCTCCTCAGCTCCAGGTTCTTATCATTTCAGTGGGAAGAGAGGAGCCACTTACCCTGCCCCCACTCAGAGGGGACTTTAGGGATACGTTGTAAGTGCTTTTTAAAAGCATTGGAGAAGGACAAAATGTGAGCAAATACAAAACAGCATTAACATTAGGCATGGATATGTATCATTATTTAAACATTGTGCCCTTTAAAATCTTTTTTTTTTTTTTTCTGAAGGGCAACTTTCCCTTTTAACTTTAATTTAAAGAGACTTCTTATTGATATGTTCATGGAATGTATGGGTAGCTTTTACAGAGGCAAGGAATTTTGGTTTAATTGAATGGGATTTTAATGTTAACACTGAATTTTGGTACTTTCTGGGTGACAGCAGATGTTGATGTAAGATAAGCTATGCATTTAGGAGATAATACATTTTACTAAGTTCAAGCTCATGAAACTTGTGCCCACATAACAGGAAAAATGTTCAAATAGATCAGATTTCATTAGAAGTATATTCAAAGAGAGAAATCAATCATATTATTTTCTTTTAAACTCCTTATGCTCATTCATTTGATACCTTGAATGCAGTGAAATATACAGAATATAGAATATAGAGTGATTGGGAGAATTTCATTTATTCCAGCTGATCTTTTATTTAGGAAAGTGAGTGAAAACA